TCTCCCGTTTCCTTCCGCAGAGGGTTCACTCTTGGGATAGAAAATTAATTATGACAAATCAAAAATGTTCTCTGAAAAAAGGTGTAATGTAGAAACTTTTATAAATATAAATAGTCTAAACTTTCAAATAGGTATCAAGAAACTTCCCCCTGCCCAAAACCAAAACCAATCCAAAACAGATTTTTTGGGGAGACAGCTTTATACAAGTTGGTCCACAGCAACAAAGTCTGTAAGTGGATAGATACAGAAAGTTTTGAGATATGGAGGATATCTCCCATTCAAAAAAATACAGAATGCAATTTTCTGAGTTCTAGAAATAAATACGAGAAGTTGTTCTCCCTTTTTGCTATATACCATCTCAGCAGAAATAATAAATTCCTTTTTAGATTCTGCTAAATATGTATTGCTTGGTTCAGTGCAATTATGCCAAACTTATTGGAGTATTGTATAAATAACAATAATCTTGATGGGATGAAAACTTCTGTTTTCCATTGTCCTAAAACTGTGTTATAATAAATACAGAAAAGGTCTCATTACAATATTTACCCATTTGACACAGAAGTACTGGAAAGAAAAGGGATTGATTTTAACAGTGAGTATAATTTTAGATACAGAAAGAGGATGACACAGATAAAGGCTCAGAAGAAGGAACTATGGAAACTGCAGCTAAAGAAATGGAGAGAAATGAAGGAAAGGGGTTACTGAGTTTCTGTACATGTAGTAGACATGTGGTAGCCATCTCCAGCAAGGAATAATACATGCTTCCTAATAATGCATCTCTGCTGGATAGACAGCAGAGCAGGATGAGGTATCTGTACGTACTGTGTGACTGCACTGTTTAAATTTGCTCATTAGGGGTGCCAGCTGTTAAAGAAGACAGCTTTGCATGGCATGAAATTGTTCTTCTTGTAAGTTCCTACACGGCACATTGTCCTTATATGAAGGAAACATCATCTTCACCATCACCTCCACTCAAAATGAGGATGGGTAAAATGTGTGTGGCAGATCATCTTATCATGCCAGATTCCAATTAAAAAGAATAAAGAGGAAAATATTTGGAAGTATGATTTTTGTATTTAGTTGTATATAGTTCACTTTTGCCACAAATGTAGCTAAACACCTTCACCCCATTTAGCAATATTTAAGGAATGGTGTAGATGCTGCTAAGGAACCATATATGAGAAATGCATCTTGGGAATGTTGGAAAACAACTGCATATTGAATGGGCTGTAAGGTTTTGTTTGTCAGCAATCCAATGATTTCTGAGACAAAGTATCATTTCAAATATTGGGCCTGATCAACCTGGTAAAATAAAAGCTGGATCTTCCCATTTTGATAAAGGTATACACGTTTTACAAATAAACTCACTGAAAGTTTATACTGATAATCTGTTTCCAAGTTCTATTCTTCTACCACCGTTTTTAATCACTGTGGAGTGCAACAAATACTTGATCCTAAAGTAGCGAGACATAAACTTGGCTTTCTAATCAATTGTAAGGGTTAGGGCTCTACTGAACAGATATGAGAACTCAAAGTACGAATGAGTGAGAGATTTCTGTAATGTACCACTTTGGATAAGCCAGAATCAGGGCATTTAGAGTCCTTGAACCAGTTTGGAGCCAAAAGACAGGATCAGCATCCATTGCTAATCTATTCCATTTATGGAAGTCAAGCAACCAAGTCAAGCATTCAGCCATAGCTGGCTACCTGGTAAGAGTTACACTTCCAGAAGACTAAAGCTTGATTGGCCTATGAGCTGGTGGGTTTTGGGGTGTGGGTTACTTTTGATTTTTTTTAATGCCTACCTTTCTTATTGGTTAAAGCCACATGTTTCTTGTTTTGTCATCCTTGATACCTACCTAGTTCTTGCCTGTTGTTTTCCAAAGCTTGATTCCTATTCCTAGAGATCTTACCCTGCCTTGTTCCAGTTCTGTCTGCTTTTTATTCCTGAACATACCTTTCCCCTGCCTTCCCAGTCTCTAACTGCACATTTTCCTTGTCATTTGGCTTCACATGCTTCTTGGCTTCTTTAATTCCTGGGTGTCAACCAGCCACATAGTTCTTGCTAGTTCTCATCCTGCAGAAACCTGCGGGTTCCTCTGTCTTAATCTGAGCTTGGCCTGACCACAGTACCCAGCTACACTAGCTATTCCAAAGATTTTTTTTTTTTTCAGGTAGAAAACACAAATTCTTTGAAGTGCCACATTGTTGACATTACATGTCATCAGCAGAGCTGGGCTCTCTAGGTACTACAAAGCCTTCTTGCTGTTTGAAGTAAGGGAATATTTGACAGCATCAGTGTATAGTTACCCTCTATATAGGCCAACCTTATGGAAAATTAAAGCCCATTTTGCATGTTAAAAACCCCCTTCCGTGTTCCATTTCAGTAAATGACCAAACTGTTGGCTGACATTTTCCAGATTAATTCAGCCTGAGGCAGTCACCCAACGACCCAGTCAGAAAAGTCTGTTTATAAATAACAGAAGTTTGAAAATGGAAGTGTTGGATAGTACTAACATTTAGACAGTGCTAACAGCACCACCTGTAGCCATCCTTCACTTGCCAGGCATTTATTGATGGAGTATGCTTTTGGAAAGGTTCATGTTTGAAAGTGTACAGGTGATGTATAGAAATAAGCCAAAGTAATAACTTATTTGCTTGCATCAAGAACCACAGATGACACTTCATCATCAACAGCATCTAGAAATGCTTCTTTCCGTCAGAAGCAGATTTCACCAGTGGTTGGCTGGAATAAAACAATACAAGAGAGCAGTAGAACAAACACGGAGAGTAGCCAACACGTCTTCCAGAAAAATCTGAAAGAAATGCAACAACTTCTTGAAAAACAGCATCTCAGCAATGTGGAGGTACGATATTTTTGTGTGATTCATTAAATGATCCTTCTTAAGTGTAGAAGAAAGTTTCTTGATTGTGAAAAAAGTGTTAGGCACACTATACCGAGCAGACACCACCTGAGGGCACTATGCCTTAGCAATGGACTATTTATAATAAATTTATACATATTTTTCAGTAAGAAATGAGAGATCTTTAAAAATGTTTGTAATAATATTTTCACAAATTATTCAATGATATATGTCATGTTGTCTTTCGTTATGTGAATGTAAGATTTGTATGACTTTTTGTCTCTGAAGTAGCCAGACAGTCTATCACAGGAGTCTTGTGCTAGGTCAAATGTTGAGGGCTTTTATTGTTTTTTGCATTTTTCCCAAAGTGTGGTAATTTCTTAGGGACTGACTTCAAGGCCCTTGAGATCCATTTTTGTCATCTTTGGAATAGATGCAGGTGTTCCAATAACAAGCCCATTAACTTTCTGCCTAAACTGCATCTTGGACCCAAAATCAGTTTCAAAAGTCACCTTAGAAACACAGTGAAAATCAAGAAGAACTGAACTTCAAAGGGATTTCTTACAACTGCACTTTTAAGCATGAGTTTAGTCTGTCAGTGTTGGTTTTGATTTTGGAAAAATTGTCTTCAATATCACATTTTTTGGAAACAAGAGGACATAATTTTGGACCTATTCTTTTATTTTATAGTATTATCAACTGGTATCTGAACTCGTGATGTCTGAAATGACCTTGACACTATGAAGCACTATCCCTTTATATTGGTGACGGCTCGAGGCATGGGATCATTGGTGACCATAGAGCAAGGGCTTTTCCATGTGTACGGATAACTTTTGAAAGGCTGTGTAAAGTTCAGATATATTTTGAGTTCTTTGATATTGATGTTTTCAGGCACATTCATCTCTCTCTTTGTTCCTCCTTTGTTCTGATGGGTATTCATGAGAATCTTGAGCAGCTGATGGCTAACACAGAAAATCTCACTCAATTGGAGTAAATTTCCAAAAGGTTGAGGAGACAGAAAGTACAGTTTGCACTGGTAAGGTTATTGATTAACGTTCAGTCTTATTTCCAAGCATAGCAGAAGGAAGAGCAAATGGCAGTTTATAGAAGACAGCTGATAAAACTGAACTCTAGATAACCACTTTCAAACAAAATACAAAAAATTTGGGGTTTTTTTATACCACATTGTGTGTTTTATTGGCATAGTGTTTGCAAATCCCTCTTTAATTCTTTGAATTAGGAAAAACAATGCAATCTTTTTGAGAGAAATGTGTAAAAAGATTCTTCTGAGCATACTGTAAGACAACTGTATTGTAGTGTATTGTCTCAAACCCAGTTATCACGTTCTGATTGAAATCTATGGCAAAACTGCTGTGAGTCATACATGATGTAGTTTTTTTCTAAATGTTATCCATAGCTTTGGACACTGCATATAATGCTGGAATTTGTGTTTACAAATTAAGGTATTTTTGAAAAATCTTTGGTCCTGTAAAAAATTTTGCTTTTTTTTTTTCCCCCACCATGTATTTTTCTGCTACCACTAGGGGTTGCTCAGC